GAAGGCTGAGGCGGAAGGATCGCCGGAGCCCAGCAGGTCGAGGCTGCGGTGGCCAGGAGCGGCCACTGCACTCCAGTCTGGGTGACAGAGTGAGACTCCAACTCAAAAAAAAAAAAAAATGTAGAGCATACATTGGTGACATTACAGGATGAGTTTTCATGGGCTAGTGTGTAACATCAACTTTAACAGGAAAATGCACTCCAAGTTCTAAACTACCAACAAACTTTTGCCTGAATCAAACTTTTAAATAAAATTTATGAGATATCTTTAAATTATTTGCGTTCTGCTTAATATCTATAATGCTAAGGGATAAATGACTATGTATATATAATTATAGATACACACATAGCTACTCTCAAAAGACATGCTATATGCTAATACTAAAGATTATATGCATTTTGTTGTGTGTGAATTATTTCCACTTGTTACTTGAAGCACAAAGAATCTAATATTGAGTTGCATCATAAAAATTGAGTAAAATCTATTGAGTAAAAAGAAATGATAGAATAGCAAGAAGGAAGCTGAGGGCAGTGCTTTGAATAAAATGAAATAGGGACACTGTCTCAGCTAAGGTCACCAATTAAAAGTTAGTCAAAGTCAGGAGTGACAAAATCATCACTAGAGACTTAACCTCAATCTAGTTGTTGCAAATAGTACAGTAACATTGTAAAACTGATATAGCAGATGGCAATCTAGTCACCTCTTAACTCATGCCTAGCTAACTGTGCCCTTGGCTAAAAGTAAGCAAAGAATCCACATAGAGCATCTGCATGGAGCCCATGCAGGAGGCTGATAGCACACAGTGTGAATGCCCTCATGCGCAGCTGAAAGTCACTGATAACTTCTGTATTCCTAGCTTGAGTTCTAGAGTTCTGAGATTGCCAAAGGGCTTGCAAGGCATCTGACCCATGTGCATACACGTTCCTTATTTTTACTTTTTCCTGAGTTAAAGGGAAAGTATGAGAGCATCAATCCCTCTCATTTCTCTTAATTTTGTTGCTTCTGGATTTCTTACAGCCTCTTCCTCAACTACAACTTTGAAAGCAAATAGTTCAAATCTCACCCATTTGAAGTGGATCAATGCAGATTGTATTTCTTGAAATACAGAATACCACAAAGCAACTCCCTAATGCATTCCAGGGAAGAGAAACCAAGGGAGGGAGGTTTAGCAATTTGTCAACCAATGTAAGAACAGAGTACACATTTACAGAGAGATTGTGACCTGCCAAATACCACGAAAATATAACCAAACATTTTCCAAACATTATAGAGCGTGTTCGGGACCTGGCCTTACAAGAAAGGCTTCTTTGTTTCACTTCGTTTAAGTCAGTCAAACTGCCAGTTCATTAAAGGGTAAGCTAATGCCTCAGAGAAGGCCTGGTAGGTATGGGGAAAAGAGAATTTTAAAATGCATTCAGAATGAGCACCCTTGACGGTGTGTGGCCTTCTTTATGGATGTGGTGGGCCTATGCAGTTTCTGTGCTTCAGAGTGGTCTTAGCAGGCAGCCTGGATGTCAAAAGGAAGGGGAAGATAAGGCAGGAAAGGTCAATGTAGTTCTAGCCAGGAATGTGGGGCCAGCAGCTGCTGATGAGGGCCTAGAGGAAGGAGGATTTTCTCAGTCTACATCTCCTGGCTGGAGTCCATCTACTCATCCAGCAGCCTGTGGTTTGGCTTCCTGAGAGCAAGCCCTGGAGTTCAGAGAAGTAACACCAACCATTCCAACCTACCTTTCATTGCAACACAGAGGCTCAGAGAAGGAAGCCTTATCTCTTTGTATGCAATTCATATTTCTGAGAACCCACAAGATTCATCATACTGAATAGACATTTCACTGCTCATGGGAAAGTCTGTAGTCTCAGCCCTCAAGGCGATCGCTTATAAGTTTGATTAAAGCTGACTCACAGTCTGGATTCCAAATCTGTTCACCCACAAGGGAGTGGAAGAAATCACCTACAGAAGTCCTGAAAACACCCTCGGGGTCACACTAGTGTCACTGGTCGGCTGAGGGACCTCTGTCATTCACCTGGCTGGTAAAGCTTTTGCCATCTTCAGCAAGCTCCTGGTCAAGGCCTGGCTTCTTGACCAAGTGCCTCATTTCTGGCTTCCTTCCTTTGTCAGAACTAGTATCCTAGGCCCTGGACTATTTCCTATTCTTGTCATGTTGATCCTGATAGCTTCCCCTCCCAGTTGTCTCCTGAGGTTCATCCCAAGTAGGGATAGGAAGTACCCTGACCTCTACCTCCCCTCTCATCTCCTCCCCTCTTCACTTACAGCCACTCTCCCACCTGTTGTCCCACATTGTCTAGGTCTGGCCCTAGATTCTCCATCTGCTTATTCCCTTTGGGCTGACATGGTATTTGCATGATCTACAGAGCTGGGAAACTCAACATTTGCCCAGAATGAAGTCTCTGTTCTCCAGGAACCTCTTCCCTCTGCCATCTCCCCAGTTCCAGGTGCTTTCAAGGTACCTTCCCAGCACAGCCTTGTTCTGTGCTAGAGATGGAGCTACTCCAACCACAGATTATGGTACATATGTCTCTGTGCCCTTTCCTTTGGAGTGACCTCAGTCTCAACTTCTAGACTTATGTTCTTAGCTCACTGCAAATCAGGTCCTAACACTCATCGGTGCCAAATTCTCACCACTTTACTTCAACAGTACCCTTTCTCTCAAAGCTTCCTAAATTGTAAGAACTTCTAGGAGCAAAATATCTACAGTCTGGAGGAGCTGAGGCCAGTGCAGATGCAATTACCAATCATTTCTTCACTTGACTCAGCAATACATTGGAGTAGGGCATTCTCCCTGCCGCCCTGACTGGGTCACAAGGTGGTTATGAATGCAAATGAGTCAAGTGAAAGTATAAAGGCTGACCAATGATGGGAAGGACCATTATTACTGTCACCCAGACTGGCCATCCTCACCTGGACCAGCAGAGGCTAATGATATGGCCTCCCAAGTGAGGTCTAAGCCCCGAGCTCCTCTCCAGTTCCCTGGTAGTCTGTGCTTGTCTCTGCCATTGCAAGCACCGCACTGTATTGTAATCATCAGCTCTACATCCAGAAAGCATCTATAATTAGTTTCTGTACACTCACAGTGCCTGATACACAGAAGAAACTTTACAAATGATGAATAAATGCATACACGAATGAACAAAAGAAAGAATAAAACAAGGTTTGGTTTTGCACAGATTGAGAAGCGGATGGGAATACGCCATGTAAAGTAGCAATCAGAATGACTTCTCAACATCGATCCTTTGCCCAAACTAAAGCCTCTCCCTGGGACTTGCCTGTATGGCTCCATGGTCCGAGTACCATAGAACAAGGCCTCCTCCAGCAGGCCAAGGTTGATGCAGGCATCCATGGCGCAGTCGAGCACCTTCAGCTGGTAGATGTTGATATCGGGAAGCCGTTCAGAGTTGCTGCTTATGATCGTCTGGCACAAGGACAGAACCTGTTCCCACTCTGTTATTAACCTTAGTTAAGGATTCATTGTCTACATCAAGAAAAAACAAAAGTAAAATGAGATTCTTTAAAAGGCTGAAGAGCTCCCAGGAACAGGAGGGAAGGAAGTGCCCATTATTTTTCACAGATGAGCTGCCTAAAAACACACTTGAGAAACAAAAACATATAAGTGGTATCTCAGTGAAGCAAATCCTGTTTACATCAACAAACCATCTTCTAACCAAGCCTGTGCTCTGGAGTTTTAAAATTTCCAAAGAACCATTCTTTCTTCCCACTCCTATGCATTTTCTCTTTAAATCTAGTCATGAAATTAATGCAGTTCTTTATTACAATGGACTAAAGATTGAGTTAGTTCAGTTTAAAATTATTTACTCTGTTAGTTTGTTTAAAACCTGATCTGAAATTAAAGAAGCTTTAGAAACATTCCTTTTTCAAAAGGAGGAACTCATGTTTGCTTCTATGTTATTTGAGTCTTGGGCATACATAAAGGCAAATACACACACAACCCACGGGCACACACTAGGCGGAGCAATTTGAAGACATTCATTTCCACTGGCTCTCATATTTAACTTTTTTTTGTTATCAAGCAAAAGTGACCCAAGTCTATACTTAACCAAATACATTAAAGGGATTCTTATCTTAAACCCCAAAAGTAAGAGACAATATTAAGAACATGGCTTATACACATACATTGCTGGCATGAGGAAATGATGTTTTATTTTTATTTTTATTTGAGTTGGAGTCTCACTCTGTCGCCCAGACTGGAGTGCAGTGGCTGCTCCCGGCCACCACAGCCTCGACCTGCTGGGCTCATGCGATACTTCCACCTCAGCCTTCCAAGTAGCTGGAACTACAGGCACGTGCTACCATGCCCGGCTGATTTTTGATTTATTGTAGAGATGAGGTCTCGCCAAGTTGCCCAGGCGGGTCTCGAACTCGTGGGCTCAGGCAATCCACTCACCTCAATCTCCCAAGGCAATCTCAATCTCTTACAGGCTGAGCCACCGAGCCCAGCTGGAAATGATGTTTTATAAAGGATAGAAGAAGACCCAATATCCATTTCTCAACACTGACTTTCTGATTAACCATGAGTCAATACTAAATCTCACGGAGCCTCAGTGTGACCTCACTTTTTAAAACTGATATTTCTTGTCTTCTACAGAAGCAGAGGATTGAGGACATGGTGCATGGAGCATGCTTTGAATCCCTCCCAGGTGAATTCCCTTGCAAACACAGCCAAAGGCTCTTAGAGTTCAGGACCCTGGGACATCATAGTTTCTTTGCTGTGCTGCTGTGTTAGGCAAGGTGGAGACCAAGAAGGGCACTGGGCTATGACTGGCCCTTCCCCCACCCCTACTCTGCCTTCGACCAGTAGAGCTCCAAGTTCATCTGCTTTCATATGTAGGCATTTTAATGGGATGGGGGGAGGTATGAAGATTTCAATATAGCAGAAATGTCAGCATAGCCTTTGTCCATAGATAAAGCAAGATTCAAATTTAAGCTAGTCATTTGTCAGAGCTGAGGTTCTGAGAGAGTCAAAGTGCTCTGAGATAGGCCTGAAATAAAAATGCCTAAGGCCACTGTAAGAATTAAGTAAGATATTCTATGTAAAATGAAACGATTCTTCATGTGTTCTAATGTGAGCCAGACAGAGTTGCGAGTGGGACACAGTGAGAAAACAGTGTCAAGCGCAAAGTAAATGCTACACAAATATTAGTGACTTTCTTCCTCCTTTCTGTGTCATGAACTCTGGGAATAATTAGGCTCAAAGAAAATGGTTCAGTGGACTGAGTTTGAATGAACTTCTCATCCTCCCACACCCCTCTAATCACACACAATCCAGTTTCTTCACAATTTAGTGCTCTCTGTACCATCTCCTGTCCCCAATTTAAAACCTTTTTTATTGACATCCTAATAGAGCCTGCCCAGCCTGGAACAGACAGCCACCGTGTATGTTCCTTTATCCCTCTCCCTCCAGCAAAATCTACTTCTTCTAGTATCCATACCCTCAGGGCACTGCTTTCCAAAATGTTCACAAATACTTTTGATAAACCAATCAAGCCAGTCCCCAGAGTGGGGACTAATATCTTCAAGAATCGTCATAGGAAATAATTCTCTTTCCAGCAAGGGCATCCTGGGGGCACAATACTTTACCTCAAAGGATGACCTCCTTGACGAGCATTTCAAGCACCAAAATGCACCCCTGAGGGCCCTTAATATTGCACCCTCTATGATTTTAGGTGGGTCCTGTCTTAGAGGACTTTGATTTTGGTCCCAGGAGAGAGATGTTTATTGGAGACAAGTGTTAGTGATTTTCTTTTGTATTCATGTGACATGCATGTTTAAAGTTTGCTGAATGTATCCTCCAGAGGTTGAAGGAAGCACTATTTTAGGCAACTCTGATTTTGCAATGGATTGCTGGGCTAACCTCTGTGGCTTTTCATTCTAGGATTAGGTGTTTGACACACTGTCAGGAGGAATGACTGTCTCTTACACAATGCACCTTATTTTAACACTGCGTTGTTTGACCTACGCTATTATTTGCCCATTCATTTATATATGTTCCAATACATTCTAAAGAGATTTGAGGTGATAAGCCTTAGAAGTAAAAACCAGATGTGATGTTCTGCAGCCACTCACAGGAATACATCTACTTTATCCCCTAGCAAGCTGGAAGGAACCGTGTGCCAATTTCCCTTCGCAACAGTGGCAACTATCTCTTGGCAAACAAGGCAAAACCTTTCCTGTAAAACACCCCAGTGAGCAAAAAAATGGAATAATTTTAACTAAGAGGCTTTTCCTCCAAGCTAATGCTGACATCTATTTGCTCAAAGATTTAGTCCCTGGCATTTGTGTGGCGTTTGCTAAAGTCACTGTTTCAGTGAGGAGTTGAGCTCTAGGCCTAAGCAGGGCTCAATAGCCCACCCAGAGGGAATAGTTTATCAATGGACAGAATAGATACCTTTAAAAAAAAATACTTTTAAATGATCATAAGAGGATTGGGGGGAAAGAGAAAAGGGAGCAAAGTAAATTCACTTGGGAATCAATTTCTTGGGACTCAAAGACTGTCAGACCATAGAGCTTTTACTCATCTAATCATATTACTCCACTGCTTACAAAATCATTCCCCAGTCCCCTCTCACCTATGACGTATAATCTCCTGTGCATGGCATTTAAGGCCTTGTTCTGTTCCTCTCCTCTCATACAACCAGTAATTTCTCGACAGCATTCAATTTCATATTCGGTCCATCTGCACAGAAGTCATTTGCTCTGGTGGACTCCCCTTCACTTGGTTGACTCCTACTAATTCTCCCAGACACAGTGCAGGGGTCAACTCCTCTGTGAAACCTTCTTTACCCTCACAAAGTTGGCTATTGTGCCTTTAATGCCTCTACAAGTATTTCTTTACCAAAACATGTAAAAAATGTACATATTTACTAGCTTGCTGTGTGAGAGTTGTGAGTACAGGGCTGTGTTTTCTAATTTCTGCCTGGGTAATAAGATAGAGTATGACCAGTAAAAGTGACATAGAGTCTGTTTTCAGTAAAACCTTGTCCCACTGAGACTGAACTCTAGCTAGGTCACCCATGGGCCCTGATTCTGCTGCATGGAATCACACATAACAGGTCTAACTCATCTGCATCATAGAGGCTCTTTGAGTCCATGAACAGGGAACTCTTGATCCCAGAGTTGACTGTTTTCCCAGTATCTTCCATCTTATCTATAGAGAGGGTTTCAAATTCCTCTTTGATTTTAGTTCCACTTCTAAAACCTATTTCAGTTTTTCTATAGCTCTCTTAATATGTCCTACCCCAAACTGAATAGAAAATTCCAGATATAACGAATTGATACTATCACAATTCTCATTTTATATTATATATTTCTATTAATGCAGCCCAACAGTAGTTTTTTGGGGAGTTAAATTATACTCTTAAATATCATTAAATTTTGCTGTTTACTAAAGCCCTGAAATTCTTTCACATACTCTGCTAAGCTTTATGCATATGTATACACTTTAACTACTTGATCCAAATAGAAATTTCACATATATTTCATTTTTTAAAAACTCAGACATCACTCAAACCTCAGGGATCTTTTGGGCTCTTGATTCTACCATCCCTCCTCTGCTATCCTTATCTATATACCTCGGGAAATTTGACAAATCTGTGCTCTGTTTTCATTCAAGGTTGGAATGAAAGACTAAAGAGGACTGAGATGGGAACAAAGGCCCCCAGAGTGACAGTGATCCAAGAAGCATCATTTTTTTCCACTGTAGCTATTCAGCCATTTGGTAAGATGCCTGGTTTTCTAGCATCTGACATAAATTTCTTGACTACATTTTGTCAAATCCCTTTCTGAAATGTAGATACAAACTTTACCAAAGAAAGTCATGACTATGAATTCATTTGATCTTAGTGAATTCATATGGCATCATGGTGATCACGGCTTTCGTTTCCATTACTAGGTAGCCAATTCTAGATTACTTTCTAAGACTACTAACAAACTCAATAAGCTATAGATTCAGAAGTTCACCTCTAAAAACAGAAACATCCCTCTCTCATCTCTTACAATTTCTTAAATAGCATAATCAGTAGATTAGAAACCTCACTGGCAGATTTTCTTAGTGTTTTGGATATAATTTATCCACGGCATCTAAATGACCATTTGCAATCTTTTCATCTACTTGATCTCTTTCTTCTTACCTTGTGGCTTCCCTGTATCACATTTTTGGCCAGTGAGCTCTACTGGGAGTGACCTCTGTCTATCAAAAGCCTGTACCTGACTCAGGATATCTTTTGCACAGTGAAACATCAAAGGAGTCTTCCCAGATGACCTTAATCATAAGCCATCTCTCTTTACTCTGATCTTTGACACACCTGTGGTCCTTACTATTTATGCCAAGCACATTTATTGTGTAGCAACCCCCATGTGACTATATTCATGGCTGATTTAATATGAAGCTTCTAGGTCTGAAGGTCAATGGCATTAAATTATTAAAATTCTAAGTTATTCTTTCCTAGAGATGTAGATTAAGGAAGGAAGGGAGTTTTAGAATTTGTTACCTTTTACATATTAAGGGAATATTGCTTACTTTCCTACTATCACTGGGCCATGAATTTTAACTTTTATGTAATGGTAGTGAGATATTTATGCTGATCTCACCACAATCCTCCCTAGCCATCACCCAAATTGCTGGCTGGGTTCAGGGATGCAGCCTATGACTGTGGAACAGAATGAAGACCACCTAATTCATGGAAGTCAGGTCCTGCCCTTGGCCTCATTAACGCCAGGCTCCAAGCAAAAATGAAGCAATCCCAAAAGTCCAACTCAAATCACAGGTGAAAGGATACTCCAATGTGCTTTCAGTTCTTCAATTTTTTTCAGGGATTCTTGAACTTCCTTCCATACTTGCTCATCACCAGTTAGCATATCAGCATCCTGCTCAGACCACAGTAAAAGACAAAAAAAAAAAAAAAAGACAAATAACCCAATTAAAATATGGGCAAAGGATCTGAATAGACATTTCTCCAAAAAAGATACACAAATGGCCTATAAACCGGTGAAAACATGCTTGATGTAATTTGTTATCAGGGAAACACAAAGCAAAACCACAATGAAATACTACTTCATACCCACTAGCATGGCTATAATAAGAAAGACAGATAATAGCAAGTATTAGTAAGGATGATGAGAAATTAAAACCCTCACACGCTGTTGGGGAGGATGTACAATGGTATACCTTTGGAAAAACAATCTGGCAGTTTCACAAAGGGTTAAACATAAAGTTAGCATGTTACCAATTAGAGTGACCATACTAACAATTCCAGTCCTAGGTATATACTCAGGAGAAAAGTTCAACAAATCTGTACACAAATATTCATAGCAGCATTGTTCATAATAGCCAAAAAGTGGTAGGTGTGGTGGTTCACACTTATAATCTCAGCATTTTGGGAGGCCGAGAAGGGAGGATTGTTTGAGCCCAGGAACTCAAGACCAACCTGGGCAATGTAGTGAGACCTTGTCTCTACAAAAAATATATTTAAAAAATTAGCTGGGCATGGTGGCACATGCCAGTAATCCCAGTTGCTAGGGAGGCTGAGGAGGAGAGATCGCCTGAGAGGTTGAGGCTGCAGTGAGCCATGAGCATGCCACTGCACTCCAACCTGGGCAACCAAGTGAGATCCCAACTCAAAAAAACGAAAGAGCACCAAAATAGACAAAAAATGGAAACAACTCAAATGTCCATCAACAGATCAATGGATAAATAAAATGTGGCATGTCCATGAAATGGAATATTAGTCAGTAATAAAACACTGATTCATGCCACAACATGAATGAACCTCAAAAATATTATGCTAAATGAAAGAAGACAATCACACAAGACCAAATGTTGTACAATTCCATGAATATGAAATGTCCAATATAGGCAAAAATCATAAGACAGAAAGTAGATTAGTGGTTGCCAATCCTCTAAAATTGACCATAATGCTGGGTGCAGAATTCTGTAAAGAGACTAATAGTCATTAAATTGTACACTTTAACTGGGTAAATTTTATCACATGTGAATTATGCCTCAATAAAACTGTTATTTAAAAACACAAAAGGGGAACTGAAATGAGAAAAATAACTATTTCTTAGGAGACCTACAGATAACACTTTATCAAGTATGGAGTTAGCTATCAAAATGAAGCTAGGATAAAAGAAGTACAACCACATTCATGTGAACCAATTTTGACGTCCACAAAAACTAAAATCCAAATAAACAAAACCCCAACTTAAAAAAAAAAGCAATTCAAGAGAAAACAAAATTATGAGCTACCATTCATTAAAAGTCTGATCTCCTGTTTAGTAAACAGGCCCTCTATCTTTCTTGTTTGCTGTTGTAACTCTGGCATCTAGCACAGTGCCTGGCATGTAGTAGTTGCTCAATTAATACTTGTTGAATGAATGATTGAAAACCATGTGTATATACAATGCTAGAGGCTTTCTTAATATCATCTCATTTTATCTTCACATACCTTTAATTCATGTGAGATATATATACATTCTGCTTACCACAGACACTGTTATAATCTGTGGAATGCTCAGCAAGTCCTAGTTCTTTCTTTCTTTCTTTCTTTACTTTGAGAAAGCAGGATTTATTGAGAAGACAGAAAAGCTTCCACAGTGGGAAGGAACCTGAAGAGGTTGCCCCAAGTCCTAGTTCTTTAAAGGTGCATTATCCAATACAGTAGCCACCAACCTCCTGTGGTTATCTCAATTTAAATTAATTCAATTAAATATAATAAGAAAATTAGTTCCTCAGCTGTACCAGCCATATTTCAAGATCCCAATGGCTACATGTGGCTGTGGCTACCACAGTAGAGAGCATAGATACAGAACAGTTAGCTATATCATTGCTGAAAGTTCTATTGAACAGTACTGCTTTAAAAAGGCTAATCAAAGGGTAAGACATCATCTCATCAGATGCTATTCAAATCCAGCTGTTCAATTTCCCTGAGACTCTCAACGGATGTCAGGGAGAAGAACCATCCTAGGAAGTTACATCGAAGCATGGACAGGGTGGGGGTGACGGCAAAAGTGAGGGAGGACATACTTTTATACTCTATACATCTCCCTGGAGATTTTTAGGTGCCTACTGGGGGAGGATTATAGAGGGACCCCTGTGAGAATCACTGCCTGAATAAGCAGTTACCAGTAGGAAGATACATGTCACTCAGCTATACTAGGGCAGGGAAAAAATGAGGGCCACTAAGATCCACCAAGGAGATCCCAAGAACAGAGTGAGGTAGTGAATGTGCATATGGGGAGATAGGAGCTTTGAGTGTGCCTGTTTAACAGCACTGTATGAGTTTCTATGTGTATGTGTTGTGCATATGTGTGAAATAATAGGTTTTTTTTGTTTTTTGTTTTAAAAAGACACCTTAAGTGCATCCTACTTTTTGCTTAGGAAATCCTAAATACATACCTAGCTTTCTGCACATTGAAAGGGTGGGGGTCAAATGCCTTTAAGAAGGTAAGCATCGGTCTCCCCCCAAATGTCTGCTCTAAGCCTATATTCATCTCCTAACTCTCTCATTTCTGTCACTTCATGCTCTTACTCCAAAGCTTTCAGCAACTCCCACCAACTCCCATGAAAGACCACCTGTTAAATCTTAACATCATGGCCATTCATGACAGAAAGTTCCAGTTTTATTTATTTATTTTTTTTGAGTCGGAGTCTCACTCTGTTGCCCAGACTGGAGTGGAGTGGCCACTCCCAGCCACCACAGCCTTGACCTGCTGGGCTCCGGCGATCCTTCCACCTCAGCCTTTCGAGTAGCTGAAACCACAGGTACGCGCTACCATGTCCAGCTAATTTTTTGATTTATTGTAGAGATGAGGTCTCGCCAAGTTGCCCAGGTGGGTCTTGAACCCGCGGGCTCAGGCAATCCATTCACCTCGGCCTCCCAAAGCGCGGGATTATAGGCTGAGCCACCGAGCCCGGCCCAAGTCCCAGTTTTATATTTCACAACTGGAAACTCAAACCCTAGGCTCTAAGCAAAATATTCTGCTTGTTAGCTCCTATGGTAGGCAGAATAATGGCCCCTCAAAGATGTCCACATCCTGGTCTCCAGAACCTGTGAGTATTAAGTTATATTGCAAAGCAGAATTAAGTTGCAGACAGGATTCAAGTAGTGAAGAGTACTCTGGACTTTCCAGGTGGGTCCAATATAATTTTAAAAGGTCCTTAAAAGTAGAAGAGGTTCTCCCAAAAGAAAACTATTCAGCTAAATTCAGAAAATTAAATAGCAAAAATTTGATTGTAACATGCCATAAAATTGGACTTTGAAATAAAAAATGATATGAGAAAATAAGTTTTCAAATGTGGTATTTACACTGAAGACCACTTCAGAAAGCCAGGATCAGAGTGTTTCTGTTGGTGGTGGCATTAAGTAGTTGTTTGTAACTTTGCAAAGCCACTTGGGCAAGTTTCTAGTCTAGAAAATAAGAGATTAGATTAGATTGTAGACATCTCTTCCACTTTTGACTTTCTGTGGTTTTTGTTTTTTTTGAGTTGGAGTCTCACCCTGGCATACTCATGTACTCACAGCCACCGCAGCCTCAAACTTCTGGGCTCAGGAGATCTGTCCGTCTCAGCCTCCCAAGAAGTTGGGACTACAGGCGTGCACCACTACACCTGTAGAGACGAGGTCTTGCCAGGTTGCTCTGGCTGGTCTGGAACCCCTGGGCTCAGGCAATCCTTTTACCTCAGCCTTCCAAAGTGCTGGGATTACACGTATAAACCACCACACCCAGCCTGATCATCTGTGGTTCTTATGTCTATAATTCTGCCTCTTGTTGCAAGGAGTTTGTTGTGAAAGCATGTGGTCTACCTTGTAAATGTTCTCTGCATGAAGTGATGCCCTACATGTGTGATTTTTTTTTTATTAAAAGTAGATAGGATCAATATCCTAATTCTTATTTTGAAACATTTAAAGAAATACAGAAAAGTATAAAATACACGTACATACCACCCAGAAATAACAGGTGTTAATGATTTGTCACACATGCTTTGCATTTTTTGAAATAAAGTGAAATTTTCTAGTACTTAAATAAATAATAGTTAATATTATACATGCATACATGATACTTCATTTAATCCTCACAACAACCTTGACATGTAGTCATTTCTGATTTTATATATAAGGAAACTGATAATCTGATGGATTAATTAGTCCTTGTCATACTGGCAAGTGGCAAAGCCAAGGTTCGGAATCTTGTTCTATTAGACTATTAGATTCTATACTTCCATCCTAGGTTGACTTTGTAAATTAATGGATTGGATGATGTGGGATCACTCTGATGTTAATAAAGTATACTATTTTAAGCTGGGCTTGGTGGCTCAGCCTGTAATCCCACGCCTTTGGAAGGCTGAGGTGAGTGGATTGCCTGAGCCCGCGGGTTCGAGACACACCTGGGCAAGGAGACCTCATCTCTACAATAAATCAAAAAATCAGCCGGGCGTGGTAGCGCATGCCTGTAATTCCAGCTACTCGGAAGGCTGAGGCGGAAGGATCGCCGGAGCCCAGCAGGTCGAGGCTGCGGTGGCCGGGAGTGGCCACTGCACTCCAGTCTGGGCGACAGAGTGAGACTCCAAGTCAAAAAAAAAAAAGTATCCTATTTTAATTTTGAAAAAAAAAGTAGAAAAGGAGGCAGAAGAGATGGTCAGAGTGATAGAACAGAAGAAGAACTAAACCAGCCATAGATGGTTTTGAAGATGGAGGAGGGAACTGGCCAAAGAATGCATGGAGCCACCAGAAGCTACAAAGGCAAGGAAGTAGACTCTCCTCTAGAGCCTCCAGAAAGGAACACAGCCTTGCCAACACCTTGATTTTAGCCCACTGAGACTTGTGTCAGGTTTCTGGCATACAAAACTCTAAAATAATAAACTAAGT